ATATATGACTTAAAGAGAAAGTTGGAGGTTAATATTGGATGTGATAAATCTGAGGTACTTGCGATATGCCCAAGTCAATATAATATGAAAGAATATATATTTTCTGCTTTAAATTTTTTTTGGGGGGTATTAGGTTAATTCTTGTCATGTGTAGTTTTGTTCTGCATAATTTTGTTATGTGTTGAATAGCTACTTGGAAACTGCTTTGGTGCGAGGTACTGATTTCTAATGCTGTTTTAAATACAGAAGCAAGGAAAAGCAATGTTTGATGTCCCCCGAAGAAACTGTCCTAACTTTCGCTGAGGTCCAAGGGCTGCAGGAAGCCCTGCTTGGTACGACTGCCGTGAACAGCGTCCTTATCTGGTGAGCAGCCTCCGGGCCCTCCGCGTCCCCGTCTGTCCGTGGTAGTGCTTGTTTTACCTTTTACTGTCAGGTGCTATTTGCTTCTGAAAAGATCGGTCTGAGTAGACTGTTTCAATAGAAACGGGATTTTATTGTCAAAAATGCATAGTCGTTTCTGCTCCTGCCTAATGGCTGAGTGGCCTCCGTCAGAGGAACCACCCATTTCTGATAACCGCAAGCTGCAGACGGAATTTAAAAGCAGCCTCTGAAGGCAGCAGACAGCAAGAAAAAGAAGAAAGATAGTGGAGGGCTTCCTGCCTCTCGGAGAAGGAAGTGCAGCCAGGCGTGGTGGCACCCGCCTACCGTCCCAGCTACTCGGCAGGGAAGCTGAGGCAGGAGGATTGTAGACTCAAGGCCATTCTGGGCAATTTAGTGAGACCCTGACTCAAAGATAAAAAAGAGCTAGGGATGTAACTCATTGGTAGAGCACTTGCCTCCATACACCTGGGTTCAGTCCTCAGCACCCCCGCCCCCCTAAAAGAGGGAGGGGACCAAGTGGAACTGAGCGAATTTCTGTTTCTTACGGCCATAAGCCAGGAGGAAGGTCCCAGTCTGGCCCCTGGGTGACTGAAGGCCTAGTAAAAAACCTGGCCTACGGATTAAAGGACCAGAGGACAGAGCTCAGAGCAGCCACCGCAGCTAGAAAGGAAGAGAGAAACGTCACAAAGGGAGAAAGCCAAAGAAAGAACCCTGTGTTCTGAGTGTAACCATTCCCGAAACACCTGGCTGAGTCTTTTACCTACATAGCGCAGCCCAGGTAAAGCTGGAAGAACGGAGCTCGAACTTTAACATTTGAAGTTGTAATTCACTCAAATTAACTTTACTAGAACAAATAAAATCAGTATTCCTCAGAGGAACCTAGCGGAATATAATTCTTTGCAATATATTGTACCTAAGATACAATCTTAAACACACACACACACACACACACACTATTATGCAAACCAAATTAATTAGGGGCTGGGGATTTAGCTCAGCAACACAGTGCCTGCCTGGCAAGGGCAAGGTCATGAGTTCGATTCTTGGTACCAGAAAAAAAAAACAAATTAATTAACAAATTTGTGATAAGGAAACCAAGGTTGCCACCTCTTTTCTGACTACAGGGTAGAACTCTATTCCTGTCTCAAAAGAAAAAATACAGGCCACGCATGAGGATGTATGCCTGTAATCCTAACACTGGAAGGCTGAGGCAGGAGGGTCTCAATCTGAGTCAGCCTGGAGAAGTTAGCAATTCAGCAAGAACCTTTCTCCAAGCCGGGTGAGGTGGCACACGCCTGTAATCCCAGCACTTGGGAGGCTGAGGCAGGAAGAGCACTTGGGAGTTTGAGACCAGCGTGGGTTACAAATTGAGCTCAAAGCCAGCCCGAACTGCATATCGAGACCCTGTCTCAAAAGACCAAAAAAAAAACCTGTCTCCAAGAAAAGGATCCTGGGATGTGGGTCAGTGTTATGTGCTGGCCTCAATCCTGCATACCAAAAATAAAAAAAAGAGAGAAATAATGGAAAACTTTTCTCAAGGAATTTGGTTTTGCTTTTTTTGTTCTGTTTTGATTTTGATTTTGATTTGGTTTGGTTTCTTTTGTTTTTATTTTGGTTTTTTGAGACAAGATCACATTATGCAGTTCAGGCTGGCCTTCAACGCACTTTGTAGCCCAGGCTGGCCTCAAACTCATGGCAGTCCTCCTGCCTCAGCCTCCCAGGTGCTGGGATTACAGGCCTGTGCCACCACACCTGGTCTGTGAAGGAATTTGGAAACATTTATCCCTGGGAGGTTAATAGATTCACTCTAAGGCTCAGCTATTAAACTGTGAACCGATAGTTCTGCTTGTAGCTAATCTGTGACTAAGCAAGACAGAAGTCCCTTTTCCCTTCATCCTTGCCTTGCACAGGGGTGCTGTGATAAATAGGAATATTATGTGACAGCCATTTCGCTGGGAGAATGTGATCAGCTTTTTTTTTTTTTTGGGTGTCTAAGGAATTTAAAAACTGGCCGGCTCCTGAAAAAGATGTGCATTGATAGTTGTTACCAGGCGACAGTCTGTCACAGAGCCTACTCTGAAATGGTAAGTCGTGATGTGGGACCACTTCGGGTTTACTTGCATGTGAGGACTGGTCTCACCCGTGAGAACAGTAGCCGTGGTTATTAACAGACCTTCCTTGTTGCTTATTTTTTCAAGTTTAGAGATGAAAATAAGTTATTGTTTATCAAATTTTGGGCTGTATGGTTTAAAGGCAAATGTTTATTCACAACTATGAATCTGTACTACAAAATATGCCTTTTATGAGACTCCCAGCCACATTGCTATAAATGGCTTGTGATGTGAACAGATACTCTTAGGATGCTGGGCCTAGAGATGTTCTTCTTGCAGGGCATAATGCTCTCAACAAGCCACTGTGTTCATAGACTTAGCCTGTCCTCTGGTTTCGGCATCTGCGCCGGCTGGAGGTAGTTGTCCAGGAATGGAAATTAATTCCACGAAGGTCCATATTGGAAGTCGTGAGCGGAGACACTAGTAACAGGCTTGGTGCTGAGTGGAGACTGACTTGCCTGACACCCGGGTTCCCCTGAAAGCATCAGCACCCAGAGACTCTGAATACAAAGAGTGCATCTTTCCTAGCCTAGGAGGAACTGTGGAAGTAAACGCTGAAGTTGTATGATCTTAGAAAACTGTCCTATAAGCTTTTAAAAATACTCTCTTTTTTTGTCTTTTTGAGACAGTCTCACTCTGCAGCTCAGGCTGGCCTTGAGCTCACTTTGTAGCCCAGGCTGGTCTCGAACTCGCAGTGATCCTCCTGCTTCTGCCTGCCTACTGCTGGGATTATAGGCTTAGGCCACCACACCCGGTGAAAAAAAATACATATTTTTAATGTGGCACTGGAGCTTGAATTTGGGCCTTTAAACTGAGCTATATCCCCATTCATTTACTTAAAATTTAAAATTTTGAAGAGCTGAGGATGTAGCTCAGCATCACAGCCCCTGCCTGGCAAGCACAAGGTCATAAGTTTGATTCCCAGTACTGAGAAAAAAAATAAACTTTGAAACAGAGCCTTACTGAGTGGCCCATGTTGGGCTCCAGCTTTTGCCCGTCCTGCTATAACCTCCTGGAGTGCTAGGGTTATAGGCCACCACGCCTGGCCATCACATAATTTTGAGCGTAGTTATTTCCATCCTTTAAATAAAAAGGGACTGAATTTGCCTTAAGAATTTCGTTAATGTGAATTCAATTTTATCTTTTGTATTACCACATTAATATTTATTTGATATTGAAACATTTAACATAAGGTCCGGTGTGGTGGCGCACACCTGTAATCCCAGCATTCAGGAGGCTGAGGCAGGAGGATCGCTGGACTACATAATCAAACCCTGTTTCAAAAAAAAAAAAAAACCACATTTAACACAAATATTTAGATACTAACAGTCACCTAGGTAACCTTCAGAAATAGGTTTGTTTGTTTTGTTTGTTTGTCTTTTTGAGACAGGCACTCTCTATGCA